ACGGCAGAGTCCCTGTGACCGGGGAGGACTTTCTCAGTCCCCAGAGGGGGCACAAGCTCTCGAGAAGGCAGGGACCACGGGCCAAATGGCATCTGTCCTGTGGACCCTGGAGAAGGAGCTGCGAGTCCAGGGGGCTGGGGGACCAACTTGACAGCTGTGACGGGGAACTGAGGGGAAGGGGCTCACCCTAAAGAACTCAGCTGAGCCCAAGAGATGGCAGGGAGGGACCCGCCGTTGTGAGCTGGACTTGTCTCCATGGCCTGCAGCCCATCAGAACGTCTTGTGGCAGACGTAGCTGGATAGGACGATGTCGTGCTGGATGGGGGCAGTCCCACGTGAATGGTGACCTTATGAAGAGGGGAAATTGGGACACACGGGGAGTGTGCCATGTGGCCATGAGGCAGAGCTAGGGACAGTGCACCTGCAAGCAGCCCCAAGGCTGGCCAGTGCCCACCGAGAGCAGGGAGGCCTGGAGTGACCCCGGGGAAGACACCTGCTTGTGGCCTAGAACTGTGGGACAGGGCGTTCTGCCGTTCAAGGCCCGGTCTGTGGCCTGGAGGTGTGGCCAGGGCACTGGCACAGTTGCCTGCAGAGGGGGAAGCAGCCTCACAGAGCCACTGCCCCCAGCTCTTCCCGCCGTGCCCACCAGACGTCAGGACCCCAGACCTCTCAGGAGCTGCAGCTCACACAAGAGTCCCCCATCAGTACCAAACAGAAAGTGAACAGGTTGCTAATGCCCGAGTCGTTTTAACTGATTCATTGATCTGAGCACTTCTGAAGTAAGACAGTAAGTGTTCCTGCCACGCTTTGAAGTGAGCTTCGGCTCCCTCTCCCCCCAGGGTGGTTTTACAGCCATTAAGAATGTGCTCCTTTTATCTGGGGCCTTCAATTAATTGAATTTCAAAAAAATACTCTGAAATGTTTTTTATATAGAAATCGGCCGGCTCCTGGAGGACATTCCTGTGTGATCTGCTGCCACAGTAATTAAGAGCAGGCGCTTTACACTGGTCACTGCTGCTGGGCCGCCGCCGCCAGCCACTCTCAGGTCGAGCTCAGGATTTGTGACGTTCCCCATGAGTCGGAGTCTGGGAAGGAAACTTTAGGTTCTCGGCTGCCTTTGGGTCACGGGCACACTTTCCCCATGGCCTTAAAGGGGACGTGACTGTTCACAGGCCAGCCAAAGGCAACACAGGCCAACGGGGACATGTTCCTCAGCTTCTCAGGCTCTTCCTGCGGCCTCACACAGACGTCCCCAAACCTCTGTGGGGACAGTGGGGACCAGGTCAAAATGCCAGCAGGAGGCAGGACTCATCAGCAGAGAGCCCAGCCTGCAGGCCGTGCGGAGGGGCTGACCACACGTGACCCAGACAGCTCCTCCATCCTCTGGTTCGACCCGTGGACACGCGTTGGTACGTTTTACGCAGTGGCCGTGGGACGGTGCGTGTGAACGGGGCCCACAAGGCAGCCATGCAGTTCCTCTCACCACGGGGAGTATGTGTTTTCTTTGTGTGAACGGACAGGACAGCAGTGAGCTGCCTCCATCTAAGGCCTTCTGTCTGCTACTTAATGTCTGGGGAGGCCACTCTCACGTCTCTTCTCTACCTGTCCATCCAGCTTTCTCTGTAATGGCAAGTCACGATGATGTCCACGTTCCTGGCCACCACACACACTGGGAGCCTTCTGCACAGACTGAAATCAGTCTCATGTGGCTGTCTTTCCCAGCCCAGGCTTCTGTGACTCCAGGCTGTGCTGGGCAAACACCTCAAACTCTACTGCACACAGCCCAGATACTGTTGGAATTAACGCTTTTCATTGTTCATCGCCGAACCGCCTTGAAATCTGCTGCCGCAGCTCAGCACGTCCACAGCTCAGCACGTCCACAGCTCAGCACGTCCACAGTTCAAGGTACTCCTGAGGGAGGGGAAGAGATCACTTCCTAGGTTTGCTCCCTGGGTCTCACTGCACGTCAGGAGGACAGAGCAGTAGCAGCAACACCAGATGCAGAGCTGTGAGGTGCCCTCTCTGTGCCCTGGCGACCACACTCTGCAGTGACCACACGCCACTGACCCAGCTGCCAGGCTGCAGTTGCCATGTCTCCCCAATGCCACCCTCTTCTTCTGATGAGTTAAGGCCCCCGGAGGACAGCACTGGCGCCCCTGACCCTTCCCAGGTTGCCCTCCTTGGACCGGTGGCACCTCATTGCTCTGGAGAAGGACCTTTTCTTCCTCTGGGCCTGGGGAGTGAGGGGGAAGGACACTCCACGGGCCCTTCAGCAGCACCAGGGCCTCAGTGAGCTGCGCAGGGTGGCTCGGCCCCCAGATGCCTGTGCGTGTTGCAGCAAGGTCCAGGTGAGGAGGAGGAGGCAGCGCATGGCCAAGCCCCAGGGGCATGGAGACTTTCATTTCAGATTGCACCCTGGCAGCCGCGCCGGCACAGGAGACAAAGGAGGGATTGAAAAGGATCCACAGGGGCACGGCAGTGGGGCGGCTGTGGGCCCTGCTCAAGCACGTGCCGGGACCTGTCCACCAGCCAGCCCCAAGAACTGCTCACCTGCAGAGGTGGCCCAGGCTACAGACCCACATCTGGACTGACCACCCACTCTGAAGCCAGAGAGGGACTTTCCCCTGGCCAAGGCCTGGGCATTTCCACCATTTCCTCAGAGTGCTAACTCAGAGGGCCCTGAAATGCAGCAAAAGACCCAGGGCAGTCGGCGGCAGTGGGTCCACCCAGCAGGTCAAGGGCTGAGAGGCAGCAGAAGGGAGCTCAGGCTGTGGTCACTTGAGTCAGAAAACCAGGCCTGGCAGCCCAATGAGGCTCTCTGAGGATGGGTCCCTGAGTAGCAGAGGACACGGCCTCCCCGCTCTGGGAGTCAGGATACCAGTGTTGTCTGGGTCCTGGAGACCTCAGAAGGGCATGTCCAGGCCGCCAGTGACCTTCCTGYGGCCTCCGTGCTTGTCAGCCATGACCGCTCACTAATGAGGCCCCAGTGAACGTGAAGTGAGTTCAACAAATCAAGGGTGTAGACACGCATGTCTTGGCCTACATCTAGCTTTAAAAAGAATCTCTTCCCACACAAGCTCACAGAGAGGCCGTGTGCCTGCCCCTGTGGGCCCTGAGACCTCCTGGCATCAAGGCAGCTGAAGGGGCTGGAACCAGAGCCTTCTCTCCTGGGATCAAGCTGCTCCTTCTCCACTTTATTCCTGTTGGAGTCAAAAGGGCCCTGACCCTTTTCCAGAAGGACACTTCCATCTGTCCCTACGTAAGGGAGCCCCACCTCATCTGCCTCCTGGGCTTTGACAGAGCAGGAAGAGCAAGCCCCAATCCCTGTGGCCAGGGAGTGACCCAGGCAGCACCCGCATGACATGCATGCCCAGGTGGGTGCCCCGAGGCCAGCTACACCGGCCTGTTTCTGGAGCAGCCAGGAGGCGGAAGCACAGTTTGCAGTGTCCAGTCTCGCTCAGCCTGGCTGGGCACTGCTGGCCCTCATCTCTCCCAGTGAAGAAGCTGGTAACTCAAGGCCTGCCCACAGACTACCCCTTGAGCTGCTGCTGAGGTGAGCGATTCCCACTGCGTCTCTAGCAGCTGCAGGGCTCTGAAGGGAAAACCGGACAGAAAGCGAAAGCCTGCACAAGTTGTTCAGAGATGCTCTCCGTCCCCTGGCTGAGGCCACTGCTGTGATGAGGAACAGGCTCAAGGTTCTTTGGAGTGGACATGACTGCAGGGTGGAGGGAGTACCCATCAGGGCAGGAGATACTGACCTACACTTCATTGGTTTGGGGCCAGGGTGAGGCCAGGACCTTGCCAGCACCTGGCAGAGGGACCCTCTAAGGGACTTAGTTTGGTCACTTGTCCATGAGCCCAAAGGCTCTATAATTCTCCAGTCCCTTCCTGCTCTGGCCTAGCTAAGCGGTGCCCTGCCCCCTGTTTGCCCTCCGTGCTTGCCAAGCAGCAGCAGCCGGGAGGACCAACTCACTTGTGTCCATTCTTCGGGGGAGAAGTCTGTTGCTGACAGAAGGAGGGAGAGGGATCCGGACCTAGGCCCCCCTCCCCTGCCTTGGGCTCCATGAAGAAGCTGAAGTCTGTTCATCCTGATGCTTGTCCCAGGCCAGAGGTCCAGCCTTCCTGGCCCTGAAGGGTGGTAAGCAAGCTCCTTTCCAGGAACAGTGCTTTGTCTTGGGCACACCGCCCCCAAACAGTTTCTGTGATTTTTCACCATTTACCCCGACTTGCCCAAGTCCCTGCCCAGGGCCTGGGGTCAGAAAAGCTTGGGGCCAGTGTGGACACTAGGCATAAAACCCAGGGTTTTTCTTGCTTAGCATGATCGAGTGGGGGAGGGGCAGGGAAAGAGGAGGAGGGCCTAAAACCTAGCCTAATCCCAGGGATGGCCACCACAGGGCTCTGGCCCCAAACCGGAGCCACTGCCTCTGGGAGAGGCAGGACCCTGGGGCCCGGAGCCCAAGGCTGCTGGAGCGGCACCGCAGGCCTAAGGTGTCAGAATCGGTGTCGCCGCCTTTCTGCTGTCCCGCTACAGCTGGGAGTCTTCTTAGGGCCTGGCGTCCTCGCCCAAACAGCCCCCCACACCCTGCCCGCCCCTCGCCCGCCCTCATCCCACCCTACACCCCGCACGCCCAGCTGGCCGGCAGGGCGGAGGGGAAAGTTGGCAAGAGCTGGGCGCCCGCGGGGGAAGCGTTAATGGGCGGCCGGGTGGGAGCCGCTCGCTCGCTTGCCCACGTCACGCCGGTGCGGGCTCGGCTGACGACCGCGGCGCCTGGGGACGCCGGCGCGCTCCGCTCGCCAGGTGCTCCGCCTGGAAATGTCTCCATTAGTTGTCGCCTGTTCCTCGCCGGAGCGCGCGCGCCGAGCGGCCGCGCAGGGTCCTCGCGGGCGGCCAGGAGTGGCCGAGCGCCGCTGCAGGTAGGCGAGGTCCCGGCGCCCGCCCCCGCCCCCGCCCCGGGGTTCCGAGACCCCTCCCCCCATTCCGAGGAGGCGGAGGCTCCTCACGGCCGCCGAGGGGCGCGGGCGGCGGCGGCGGCGGCGGAGGCGGCGGCGACTCCCCGGTGTGTCCTGGGCTGCGCCTTGCTCCCCGCGGCCCTGGCGCCCCAGCGGCGCGGGCTGGCGCTTCCCCGGCGCAGGTAGGGAGCGGGCTCGGCCGCACAAACTTTGCGAGGATGGCTCTTGCGCCGGAGGGGACAAAGTTTGCTGCTTGCTGATGGGGTCTCGGGAGGCCACTGCGTTTGCTTCAAGTTTCGGGAAGCGGGGTGAGGGGACCCGAGCGGTGCTCGGAGTGCGGGGTGCGGGACGCTGGGGACCTCGCGGGACGCAGGGGTCAGGAGCGGGATGGCACGGCCTGCCCTCTGGACGCAGGACTGCGCTCCTTCCTGCTTCTGGCAGCGCCCTTGGAGCTGGCCCGCTGGCCATAGGAGCGCAGCGGGAGAGCAGAGAGAGAGGGCAGGAATGGAGGGCGTTCGGGGAATGGGAAATTAATCCAGCTTGTGCCGCCGGTTTCGGGGGTGCACTTCGAAGAAGCGACCTGCCAAACTCGGCTCCGCCCTGGCTGCATCTCCGACTCCTAGAACACATCTCAACCCCGTACCCTGCCAGCAGTGGTCGGGTGCTTCAAGGCTCGGCCTTGTTCCTCGGCCCTTCTGCGCTCTGCGCTGAGCCTTCGCTTTCCGATGGGGTTAATTTGGCTGGCCTGGAAAGAGCTCCCCGTGGCTCTTAGTGCCAGAAGGGGTAGCCCGTGGGTGACGCTAGAGCACTAGGACTTGGTTGATCCCAGGAAGGTCAGGGCCTGCCCGTCTCCCCAGAGGCCTTCCCTGGTTCCAAAAGCCAACATCAACCGGGAGCAAAACAGGTGCTCCATAAGCTCCTAGTGTTCCGCATAACCCACTCTGTCCCCTGGGGCCAGCTTGGACCCTCATCCCCAAGGCCTTTCCACCCCTCACCTCCTGTTCAAGGGTGTATTTGTATCTGTGGGACTCTCAAAGTTCTGCACTCAGCTCACTGTTCAATGCAAGCTCATTTATCTGATGACCCCTGAGCTCCTGAGACTCCTGTCTGCTCTTGGACCAGGAACCGGTACCTCGGCCCAAAGCTTGACCTTTTAGGAATGGCAATTGGATCATTTCTCATATATTCATGGAACAAGGATGGCCTAGAGTAGGGGAGCCTCAGCCAGGGTGCAAGCTGTCAGCAGTATGTCGGGTTCGCTGGCCAGAGACTGATAGCGGTGCCTGGCGAAGCCCAGCAAGGTCTGGAGATTCTTGGGGCAATTGCAAGCCCCTGGGTGTGGCTGGACCAGGTCCCTAAAGGCTGCCCAGGCCAGGGCCTGCAGGAAGTGGAGTGTGGGTGTTCAGCAGCCCAGGATGTGGAGTCCTCCGGGGAGCCAGGATTCTGGAGGGGTAAAGGGTCTCCTCTAGTGAGAGCTGGGCGGAGTGGGGACTGGAAGCGTCTGTTTACGTACACAGGCTGGAAAACAATCAGCGAGGGTCGAAGACAGCCACGAAACCCCTCCCCCAGAGGCCCCCAAGGACGCGCAGCGCTGCCCCCGCCCACGCTCCGAGGGTGAGCACATCTGCTTAGAAGATGAATGGCCGCGTATTCAGGGGGCATCCTTCCCCAAGAGCTGAGCTGTGGCCGGCCAGGTACCCGGAAAGGAAATGTGGCTGTCTGTCTGTCAGCCCGGGTAGGCTGCTTGGCTGCGAACTGGAATTCCAGAGCAGAGCAGCGGAGACTGCTGAAGCTGGCCCAGCCGAGCGCTTACAGCCGCCTAGGCCTGCCTGGAGAAGTAGGGTGCGTTCCAGAGGGCCAGACCTGCCCTCGTGACTCCAGCTCCGAAAGCCCTGAACCCTCAGCCGCCCTGCGCTCTCTCCCCTCCCTCGTCCGACCTCATTATTCGGGGAGAGTGAGTTGTTTGTAAACAATAAATAATGAAAAGTAGGAGAATGTTCCGCAAAAGCCTCAGCAAAGCCGGAAAACTGGAAGGAGTTGGGAGGAGGGAGGTGGGGGAGGGGAGGAGCAGGAGGCGGAAGAGCGAGAGAGACAGAGATTCGTTTCCACCAAGAAGCCCGGTGGCTAGTTTCTTATTATTTACAGGAAGGTGGTATTAGCAATTCAGGTGAGAGAGAAATAAACAGACCTGCCACGAAATCAATACAGAATTCAAAAACAATTATTAATGTCATTTGACTCGTGTTCTTTATATATCTCTCCCGGCAACGGACGCTAAACTGTCTGGATAATTTGCATGGAGCGGCTATTCATTATTTCCGATGGTTCTCCTTTGCAAGCAGCTCGRACGTGGCCGGCCCCGGTCCAACGCCATCGGAGAACTCGTATTTTCATCTGTAAATTAAAGCAATTACGCAGCAGATATTATATGATGTGTACTGCGGTCTCCAGATAGTCATCAATCACCTTCAACAGAGCTGTCAGAGCCGGCAGATTTCGTTTCTGGGAGCAGCCTTGCAGCTGGGGAGAGGGCGAGAACGTCACCATTAATTAGAGGGTGACCCTGGGGCGATTCACAGGTCTGAACCCAGGAATCTCTCGAAGCAAGTCTGCACAGCGCCACGGTGCAAGGCTTCGCTCCCCGTCGACCGTGGGAGGCCTGCCCGGTGGGGCAGAGCTGCAGGGGGCGAGAGTGCCCCAGAGGACCACAGAGACACGGGCTGGGAACGAGTTCCCGGTGGCCCGGCGCCCCCTCCCTGCCTGAGGGAGCGTTGGCCTTCTCTTTGAACTCAGGGCAAGGTTCTGAGGCCGGGGACTGCCCCGGGAAGTCCTACAGTGAGCACCCGGCCCCCTCTCTTGCCCCGATGCTCCTCAGGCAGAAAGCCGTGCCAAACAGATCCTGGCGCCAGAGGTGGGGGGCGCTTTGGCCGGGCGCCCCAAGTCGCCTCCCCTGCACCCAGCCCTGCCGCTTGCCTAGAGAAGCGAGCCTACAGGAGTGGTCCCTGGCCTGAACAAGGAAATCTGTTCTTCAGAGTGCGCAGGGGCTTCTGACAGCCCCTGGCTGAGCCGCGAGGGGCAGGGAGAAGCCGATGGAGGGTGGCCCGCGGAAGAGGAGGGGGAGGGAGGGGAGGGAGGGGAGGCTGCGGCAGTGGGCTGAGCAAGAACTTGAATGACCTCAAGTGGAGAAAAGGAGGGGCCTTTTCCGGGGATGCTGGGCTCCAGGGGTGGCACAGCTGGGGGACGCTGTCCCGGGGAGACTCAACTGGACGTGGGCCACCTGCCCAGGTCCGACTCTGGGGAAAGTCCCGGGGACCCACACAGATGAGGGCACGTTGACCTCAGACAGGCAGCCGCAGTTGATTCTGAACTTCCTTTCGTGGCTGTGTTGGAGCTGGAGCGAGGCGTTCCGGAGACCCGGTTAAACAGTGGCGAGAAGCACGGGCGCCTACGCGCGGGGCCTCAGAGCTCTCCTTCCTCCCAGGGCGAGCGCGCSAGGAAGGGCGGGCAGCTGCCGCCTGAGCCCGGCTAATTTTAACTGTTGATTACATCTTCACTGAAGACTCACTCGTGTGTCCCTTCATAGGTCTCATTTGTAATTGAGACTAATGATTACAGTGGGGTGGGAAGGAGCAGATGCTCATTAATTAATTTCTAATTAAAAGTGCCTTCCGTCCTCCGGTGACTTAGGAGAAACACCGTTTGTCGGGCCGATATTGACTCCTGGAATGGAATCCATTTGTTAAAGCCCAATGGCCCTCCGCCCCGGCCGGCGCGGCCCCGACTGCCCTCACCCCTCCCTGCCAGCGTCCAGTGACCCGCACGTCCGCGGCCGGGCCTTACTGCGCGGCGTGGAGCTGACGTCAGTGTCTCCGACGCTTAAAACTGCGCACATCTGACTTGGTTCCTGCGATTCGTTTTTGCTTTGTTTTGTTCTTTTTTTTTTTTCAAAATATGTATTTCTGTCGCCGCAGTAAGTTCGGTCGCTCCCAGAGCCCTCCCGTGGCTCCGGATTTCGAAGCGGCCACCACCGCTCACTTTCCTTCCTGGTTACAAAAGTTTGCGGAGCGTGTGGGTGATTTAACCTGCTCTCCCGCTTCGTCCTCTCAGACCCTAGGAGCCTGCAGCCCGGGAGCAGGGGCGGAACCACTCCGGCCCCGGCGCGCAGGGTCCTTCCTGCCCCGCCTGTCCGCCCTGGGCCGCGCCCGCCATGTCCTACCCTCAGTTTGGATACCCCTACTCCTCGGCTCCCCAGGTAAGGGGACTCCCCGCGAGGACCAGGTAGGGTGGGCAGGACGCGCCGGTGACCCTCTCTTCCCAGCTACAGGCCTTCTCGTGCCAGGCGGGTGGACCCCGAACCCCTGTGCAGGGCGGATGGGCTGATAAAATCCAACAGGGCGTTAGAATTCATATTTGTTCCACCCACTGGGCTCTGAGGCTGCGTCCCAGAGGATCTTAGGGACCCGGGGAGGGGGAGCACCTGGCATCAAACAATCTTGGAGCGCCAGGGCCCATGGCCTTGGGAACCTGGGGTGGATGGGAGCACTCGGGCTGGGTCCCACATGCTCAGAGGAGACCAGGCTCACAGGCTTGCAGAGAAGGACCGAGGTTGTAGGGTGTGGAGATCGGAAGACCCCTGGGAACGGAGGCGAGGCACTCCCTGGGGGGAAGCTCCTCCAGCCAGGATGCCCCGCCCATCCTCGCGGCCCCTTTCTCCCCCAGTTCCTGATGACCACCAACTCCCTGAGCACGTGCTGCGAGTCTGGTGGCCGCACACTGGCTGACTCGGGGCCCGCAGCCTCAGCCCAAGCGCCCGTCTACTGCCCGGTCTACGAGAGCCGGCTGCTGGCCACTGCGCGCCACGAACTCAACTCAGCTGCCGCGCTCGGTGTTTACGGGGCCCCCTACGGCGGCTCGCAGGGCTATGGTAACTACGTGACCTACGGCTCAGAGGCGTCTGCCTTCTATTCGTTGGTAAGGGAGCATCCCAGCCCTCCCCCGCCCCGCCCCTACCCCTGGATTTGCCAAACCCACTCCCTCCATCCAAGGTCGTGAGTCCTCTGGGTCCCCCAACTGCTGAGGGTTGTCTTCGTCCAGCTGGGCTCCCCAACCAGTCCCTCGGAAGAGGGATCAGGAACGCGAACACTCCGCCCGGGTTCAGGGTGCCCCGCGGGTGCGCCGCTGTGAGCGGACTTTTTGTTTTGTTTTTCCACTGAATTCCAGTAAGATCCCTGGCTCTACTCGCCAAGCCCCTCTTCCTCTTCCCCCCCCCCCCCCCCCCTCCCCCCCCCGCCAAGCCCCTCTTCCTCTTCCCCTCCCACCCCCTCCTTCTCCCTCTTCTCCCTCCCCTGCTCCTCACTCCCACCCTCCCTTACCTCTCCTGCCCTCTTCTTTCCCGGTTCACCTGCTCTCCCGGCTGGCCACTGCGCCTCTCCATGACCCTTCTCCTCCTCCCCGCACTCGGCCTCTCCATGACCCTTCTCCACACCCACCTCTGCTGTCCTCTTACCCACTCTGATTCTCTCTTTTCCCCCTTCATTTTCCTTCTCCTTTCTATCCTGTTTCCGGAACTCCAGTTGTCCCCTCTCCAGTTTGGGGAATGGAGAACCAAGGCCTGAGGGAGATGAGCCTCAGGCAGGGCCTGCTGCAGGTGTGGACGTGGGTGTGAGTGGGGACTGCCCAGGGATGTGCCTGGGGATCTGACCGGAGCCTGGGGAGCCAGGGGACCTAGGGAAAGGGCTGTAGCTGGGTGGTGTCTGGAAGCTGCGACCCCAGACCCCTCTGCTCCTACAGAATAGCTTCGACTCCAAGGACGGGTCGGGATCTGCGCACGCGGGCCTCCCGCCAGCTGCGGCTGCTGCTGCCGCCTACTACCCTTATGAGCCAGCTCTGGGCCAGTACCCCTACGACAGGTGAGGGACCATCAGTGGTCAGCACCTCCATGCACAGTCAACATGCCCCTCCTGGGAAGTGGGGAGGCAGGTCAAGCCTGCTACCACTGAAGTCAGGCTTGACCTGCCACCGTGGTCCATGTACTGCGGGGAACTAGAATTTGCCCCAGTCCCCTATTCCACCCCACTCACGCTGCAAAAACTGCTCTAATTTCTGAGGACGTGGCATCTGGAAGGCCCAGTCTACTAAGGCGACTTCCTCAGGAGCCTCAGTCACCTCCCTGTACCCCAAGAAGTAGAGCCCTGGTTGAGTGTCCAAGCAGAACCCACTGCCCCTGCAGAGGGAGCCATGAGGGGGAGACCCTGCAGCTGGTCGTGTCCAGTCCAGGCCACAGTGTCATTCCATCTTCCTGGGTGACCATAACAGTTGAATGCACTGAGGCAGCAGGCAGCTCTCTGCTCCGGTCCACCATGGCCTTTCCTCGCAGGAACTTGCATATTAGGGTGGGAGGTCACCTGCCTGCAATGTGTTCTTATGGCTTGGGGATCAAAGAAATAGGAGTGAAGCCCCATCGAGAACCTCAGGGAAATATCTCTGGAGAGTGACAGAGGCCATGACCTCTCCCGCTTGGGAATGAGCCAAGCTCCCTGTCATATTAATGACATTCTCTTCGACCTCCGCCCACAAAAGGCTAGGCGTCCCCCCCACACACACACACACAACCCGACACAGGGAGGCAAAGCCCTTCCCAGCGTCCCTGGCAGCCCTGCCCCCACCCCCAGGGTCGGCCTGGGCTGGGCAGCGGCTGGCCCTCCGCTGCGATCCGTGCCCCACTGTAGAGCCTGTCTCCAGGTACGGGACCATGGACAGCGGCACGCGGCGCAAGAACGCCACGAGGGAGACCACCAGCACGCTCAAGGCCTGGCTGCAGGAGCACCGCAAGAACCCGTACCCCACCAAGGGCGAGAAGATCATGCTGGCCATCATCACCAAGATGACCCTCACACAGGTCTCCACCTGGTTCGCCAACGCACGCCGGCGCCTCAAGAAGGAGAACAAGATGACGTGGCCGCCGCGGAACAAATGCGCAGAGGAGAAGCGGCCCTACGGGGAGGGCGAGGAGGAGGAGGCCGGCGAGGAGGAGGCACAGGAGGAGCCCCTCAAGAGCTCCAAGGGCGAAGGTGAGTTGGGAAGTTGGCCCTGGGGTCAGCCAGGCTTCCAGGGAACTTTTCCAGGGTTTCCTACCACCTAGAGAAGAGCAGCCAGGCACAGAGGGGAGCTGAGCCAAGCAAAAACAGAACCTCCCAGGACCAGCTGGGTAGCAGACGAGTTGTGGGTAAGGCCCTATGCACCTGGAGACTGTGGTGGTCCCCTCTGGACACACAGAGAGAAGTCCAAGTCATGTTTTAGAATATCTCTCTCTCTCTCTCTCTCTCTCTCTCTCTCTCACACACACACACACACACACACACAAACACACACACACCACACACACACACACTAGAGGTTGAAATCAACCTAGTCCTCTGTGTCACCAGGTGGAGTCCTGGGCACCTTCAAAGGAGATGGAAAGACAGAGAAGGACCTCAGGCCTTTTCCTTGTCCAGTACTGGACTCCATAATGTGGCTTAGGAGGAGTGGGTGACTGGTGACCCACCGAGCTGTCTTTTCCACTAGCCTGTGTTCTCTCCTGGCAGAGGCTGTCAGCAGAGAGGACAAGGAGCTGGAGCTCAGTGACCTGGAGGACTTCGACCCACTTGAGGCAGAGACCCCAGAGTGTGAGCTGAAGGCACCCTTCCAGCGCCTGGACAGCAGCCTGGAGCGTGGCCCTGCTGCACCTGATGGCCCTGGCACTGGAGGCAAAGAGGCCTCCGGCCCGCTCCGGGTGCCCTTGCCCACGGATGGTGGAGCTGCCCTGGATGAGGACCTGGAGAGGGCCCGGAGCTGCCTCCGGAGCACAGTGGCCAGGGAGGAGCAACAGCCAGGCACAGAGGGTGACCCACAGGCCTGCGAGGCCAAGCTGGGCTTTGCACCTACTGGGACGCCAGGGGGTCTGGAGTCCAAGCCTCGCATCTGGTCACTGGCCCACACGGCCACTGCTGCAGCAGCCACTGCCCTGAGCCAGACTGAGTTTCCGTCCTGCATGCTCAAGCGTCAAGCTTCTCTTGCCCCTGCAGCCACATCCTCCACACCCACCTCATCCTCCTCTGTGGTCCCAGCACCCCTAGGTGCCCTGGACAGGCACCAGGACTCCCCAGTAACCAGTCTTAGAAACTGGGTGGACGGGGTCTTCCATGACCCCATCCTCAGGCACAGCACTTTGAACCAGGCCTGGGCCACCGCCAAGGGTGCCCTCCTGGATCCTGGGCCTCTGGGACGCTCTCTGGGGGCCAGTGCCAACATGCTGACAGCGCCCCTGGCCCGCACCTTCCCCTCTGCTGCACCCCAAGATGCCCCAGCTGCAGGTGCTGCCAGGGAGCTGCTGGCCATGCCCAAGGCTGGGGGCAAGCCCTTCTGCGCCTGATGCCGCCTGTCCAGCATGACAGAGAAGGGAACCAGCGCTGGCCCAGAAGACCAGACTCTTTTTTACTGAGTTTCCAAAGGAAGGCCAGAGCGTGGCCAAGCCAAGGCTGCCAACATACTGGGAAGGAGCACTGGACTCAGTCTCCCCAGGGCCACAGAGAAGCGTGTGCTGTCACCAAGATCCCCTGGACCCACCTGGTCATGAGTCTACCAGAGCCATGCCCCTGAACTCCTGAACCCAGCAGGGAGAGCGCTCTCACAGCAGATGGGAGCACCCTTGAAGCATCAAGTTTACATCCAGAGTGTAGGAGGAGAGGGCGTTCGGGCTCCTGGGCTTGTTTTGTGTAGCTGTCTCCGTGGGGTTGGGGGCATGCCGGTCTTGGTTATGAATTCTCAGCCTGCTCATCTTCTGACTTCATCCTCAGCACATCATGCCCACCAACAGCACTTCCACCAAGTTTACACTGTTGCACATTCTTGACTCGATAAAATTATGTTTTTTAAAATGTATGTTCACACCAATAATTGCCTGCTTCAGAGAGAGGCTAATAAAACCCAGTGATGGTGTTTGCATTGCAGAGTGAACACATTTCAAAACCTGGGGCTTGAGAGTTTGCCAGAGGAGGTGGTGCTGATGCCCATGGGAATGAATGGGGTGGGGCTGGGCAGGGTGGACTGGGGTGGGTGTCCACCAGACAACACCTCCATAAACTCCTTGTCAACCCAAGACCCCCCCCTGCCCCTTGAGTCCACCAGAGTCCTACCAAAGCCACTGAAAACAGCAGAGTGGCTGAGAAATCAGAGCCTTCTGCTGGACTCCTCCTGTAGAACAGTCAGAAAAAACTTTTCCACTTTTCCCACTGCCAGACTCCAGAATTTTGAGCCAAAAGAAGTTTCTTTGGCTGAATTAGAACAAATTTTAGACTTTCCAAATTCGTAGGGCAATGTCCTGGGGGAGGGGGGTGCATAGGAGCCACCCTGCCCTAAAGCCAGTACCCGCAGAGGCCCTCTGCCCTACCAAAGGGGAAGTCAATTGGCCTTCCCTAACCCGGCCTCACCCCCTGTAGAGGCCCTTTCTCACGTAAATTAGGGCTGTAGGGGGTGGAGCTGGGTGGAAAGATCTCCCAGGCAGGGGGAGAAGGGCTGGGCAGAACTAGAGGGTCAATTGAGGGAGCACAGGGACAGAGCCTGGCCTGGGGAGGGTCCTGCCTGCACAGACCCCTGGCTTCCAGCAGATCCCTGGCTCGAACCCCATCTCCACTGGCCTAGTGGCCGCCAGCAGCTGCTCCAGCCTGGGGTCCTCGCTGATCTCCCCGGGGCATCCTGGCATCCTTCGTCGGGGTGGTGCTGTCCTCTGGCTCACCAGCAAGCCTGCTGCTCTGGCTCCCAAGGGCCTCCTAAAAGTTCCAAATGGCCACAGGGAGCTCCTGAGGGCAGGACAGCACAGGGGATGCAGGGACAGGGCAAAAGTGGCCTTTGTCCAGGATGGAGCGAAGCCTGGAGGTATGCAACTCCTTCTTGAGCAGGCGGGCAACYGGGCAGGCAGCCTAACCTCCAGGGACAGAAGACGTCTGGGCTTTCTTCTGCCAGCCTGGGTCCTGGGTGGGGCGCATCTGGGGCCTCCGGGTGCCCGGGTTTCTGCAGAAAGGCCTCGGTTGGCAAGGAACTCTGGAAGACTGGTCGGTCGGCTATCGAGGTCAGCCTTGGCGCAAGTTTAGGCACCCGAGGGAGAGGGAACCCTGCGTGGCTGGGCGCATCGCCCGAGCGCGCGCCAGGCGGCCCCGCCGCCGTCGGGTAATTGGATTGTAGCGGCCTGCGCTGTCACCGCTTTCACTTTCACTCTCTTGGATGATATTATCGAGGTTCGGAAGCTCGCCGCTGATGTGCCTGTCAAAAGGCTGCGGCGGGAGCCCCCGGCCTGGCGAGCGAGCATCAGCCAAGATAATTTGAAGTGAAATTTTCATTTTGACAGTAAACCCCTCAATTTCTAAAGGCTGCGCGCTCCGAGAGCTCGCTGGCAGGGGAGGCTTTGCAGAAAGCCCACGTCTTAGACTGAAAAGGGCAAAAGAACTCGAATTAGTTGTAATAGATAAAAGGGCAAAAATAAAGAGTCAAGGGTACTTGACAGTAATAGCGAAAGTGGAGTCTCAGGGGAGACGCGTTGCGGCCCGAGGCTGGGGCGCCAGGAATTTTAATGCGACCCAGGGCGGCCTCTCCAGCGCACCCCCACCCGCCCTAGACAAAGCCAGAGGTTTTCAGCAGAAATAAGCCATTTGGGGGCTAGGCAGGGATGAAGGCTGGGGCGGCTGGGACTCAGCCTGGCGCCCTGGTGGCAGGCAGCTCTGCTGGGGCCTTGAAGCCGCGGGCGAGCATGCCGGTGGCTCCGGTAGGCGATCCCGGCCAGGGAGCAACTCCGACCCCAGGGCCCAGAGGGTTTCTGCTGCTGGCCAAGCTTGTGGCCCTCAGGATCTCCCGGGCAGAGTCCCTGGCGCCAGGACCCGCCTGTCCCTGCGGCTCTGGGCGTGGGAATCCCACTTTGCTGGAGCCCCCAGATCTCAGTGGAACTCGCTTGTTTGAATACACGTGAGGAGGGGCTCCGCCACACCGAGACCCCACAGCCCCGTCCCTTCGCCTCGTGAGGCACAGCCCGCCACGCTCGCCTCGCGCACCCTGACCCGGCTTTGGGGGCGCCCCCACCCCGCAGCGCCGGGATGGCCCGAGAAGTGGGCGGGGCCCTCACGGGGTTGGGGAAGGACGTCGGGGGGGAAAGGGGTCCGGCGGGTCTCCGCGGGGAAAGTGGCCAGCCCCGACTTCCCTCCCGGGGCGCCCGGCGCGGCGCAGGGCGGGCGCTCGGTCACTCAGGCGTGGCCGATGCAAACACGCGGAGAGGAGAGGCTAAATTAACGGCGCTCTTTACATAGAGCCAAATAAAACTGTAATCAGCGGCGCGTTACTTTTCATTAAGCGAGTCTGACAGCAGCATATTCAGACTCGACAAGGGAACAGGCGCGGGAAATATACGGCTCTCCCGGCCGCCCAGTCTAAGATAATTCCTTAAGCTCCATTAACAACTCCTAGCCGCAGGAAATGGGCTCCGGAAAACGTCTCCAAATCTAAAAGCTTTATCGACCCCTCAAACCGTGGCTGATGGTTCCATTTTTTTCTTTTTTCTCCTTTCCTTTTATTTTTTTTTTTTAACTTAAGGGAGAGACATCCAGCAAGGTAATGGAGTTTGACACGACACCTTCTTAACTAGAGAGAGGCAGGCAAGCCAGCCCTTAAATGATATTTAAAAGGCAACCAATTAAGATTTAAAGTGGTCGTCTCCTGAGATCATGCAGGCCGTGTACGCCACCTACTTCTCCCGGGCAGGCCTGCCTGGAGCTGCGCTGACGCTGACRAGACAGCCTGCTGGCTTTCCCCCTCCGTTGTCCCCCCCCTCCCGCCCTCTTCTCCCTCCCTCTCCTTCTCTCCCCCTCTCCCCCTCACTCTCTCTCCTCTCCTTCCCTTCTCCCTCTCCTCTCTCTCCCCCTCCCTCCATAAAGAGAGTACTGGAAGAGATACACCGGGAACAGAGGCAGGAGACCTTCCACCTCCTCAGGAGGACCCTGGGCTGGTCACTAGACAGGGAACAGTCTCCTAGCACAGGTAGAGCAGCCACTAGTCAAGGGAGACTGAGCCCTGACTCTCCTACAGATGTCCAACTGCTTCCTGCTGTCCCTGGTGGCCTCAGCATCCCAGAGTGGCCTGTCATCTGGGCCCCAGTRTGGGGTCAGGATGATGGCATTAACATCAGAGGACAAGTAGCAAGCTGCCCTCAGACCACAGCCAGCCRTGTGGATCCACAGGGCAGGGGATGGCCCCTCACCCTCCTCTTCCTTGCCCTGTGCTGCTCTGGATGGCTCTGATGGGAGCTGGGCACCCCCTCGCCCTCCTGGGGTTACTGTCCCTGGTCATTTGTTCCTACTGGGGCTACCACACCAGGAAGTGCTCTCCCCGGTCACCTCCTGGGAAGGCAGCCAGGCCCAGGAAAGGAAGTCCAGGACCCTGTGATTTGACCCCAGTCCAAGGCCTGGGTTGGAGGGAAGCCCAGACAGTGGGAGGGGGAGGGGGAGGGGGAGGAGGAAAGAGTGGAGGAAAGAGGAAGAGAGGAGAGGAAGGGGGGAAGAGAGGAGAGGAGGAGGAGGAAGGAAGAGAGGAGAGGAGGGGTGGAGAGAGAAGAGAGGAAGAGGAGGCATGGAGAGGAGAAGAGGAAGAGAGAGGAAGAGGAGGGGAGGAGAGGAGGAAGAGGAGGGGAGGAGTGGGGAGGGGGATGGGGAGGGGGAGGGGAGGAAGAGAGGA